TGTTGAATGCCTTTTCAGCGCATGCCTTCTTGATGTTTGTTGTATTCGATTACTTGGACATTGAAACGTGTGTTCTCTACGAAATTCTGAACACCTCTTCATGTATTGGAAGATTGAAGTAGATCGCACACCTCATGTAGGGAATATTGACCTCACATGTATTTTGGCTTTTTGATATTTTTCTCAGTTAAAATATGATTGTAATTGTGCATGATATGGATTACACATGCATTTTCCTCTCCATTTCCACAGTACAAGTCTTTGATATTTTGTTGATTCTATCATTAATTGAGAAATCTTTCATTTGATTTTGTGATATGGAACAAAATACTATTTAGCATTGGAATAGGAATTTTCATGGAAATGTGTGAGAAGTTTACATTGTTGGATGGGGTCATAAATACATGGATACAAATAAAAGACAATTCTTGTCTTCTTACCCCATTTTTCCTGCAGTTTCATACTATATATATATATATATATATATATATATATACATACATATATTTACTTGAATTTGATGATTTCTTTAGTTGTATTGAAGAATTTAAAAATCAACAAGAAGCCCATGTCCTCACTGGCGCATTGAATCTCAAACCTTCATTTCATGTGTGCTCTTTTTAAGGCCCTGTGTGTGTTGTGCAGATTTGAGTGAACTTGCTAAGCCGGACCACCCTACCCCTCCAGTTGGTGGTATCTGGGAGTGTAACCCATTTGAGGAAGAGATGGAGATGATGAGAGGAGAGATGTCCTGAAGAACCTACAGAACAAGTGAAGGAGCAGAGGCAGGGTGTGGTGTAGCGGAGAGCAGTTGAGGTGAATGTGGAGGCGGGCAATTTCTGAGCTTAGGGAAATGCAGTTCATTCTAAGGGAGTTGACTTTGATGGAGCTGCCAGGTGACCAGAGACAGGCGCTCACATGAGGAGTCTTGGGACTGAGAGCAAAGCCTGAAGAATGGATCACAGCTGTGAGGATACAATTTAGAGGAACCCTCACCTGGGTCTAACTTAGACCCTCACAGGTCCAAGTGGTAAGATCTGACCCACAATAAGGGCAAGTTGACTTATTTCCATGATCTGCCTGGATTTCCTGAGAGATAAGCATGACTCTTGGGGGAAGTGAAGCCCCAGAGACGCTGGCCAGGGCTCTGCTGTCTACTGGGAGTGTCCAGTCTCCAGGATCCTGCACTACCCCAGTGGACTGGCCTCCCGAGGAACAACTTCTCTCCTTTGGTCCAGTTTGCCTCACTGCTCTTAGCAGATGCAAGCAGGATCCAACCAGCAGGGTGGGCCAGGTTCAGGAGCAGTCAGCTGACAGCCTGCCCAGAGGTTCTCCCTCCAGAGTCCCTTCTCAGAGTTCAGAGGTGTCTTCACCTGTCTCCTTCAGAAGCTCAGTCTTGTCCCGTTTTCAATTTTGTGATGGACATATGTAGTGTTGTCAGGGTGTGTTAGCTTTGCTCGAAGGTTGATGGAACTGTATGTGTGCTGAGCTGGCCTTCTCTCTACAGTGTTCCAGTTTTCAGCTCATTGTCAGAGAAACCTGGTGAACCCCAAGACTTTCCTCTTGGTGGAGGTGATGTGATTGAAAATATTTGTTGCAAAGGAAGAGAAACTGGCAAGGAGAGGTTGAGGGCTCTTGACATGAATTGTAGGAGCTTTAAGTTAGACTCTCCAAATGTAATTAAATAACACATTCTGGTAGATGAAATGTATTAGAGGAAATGTGTACAGAGTAGCATTTTTGCCTGGATTTTTATTCAGTATGCTAGTGAGCTACAACTTCCCTAGGAATCACAAACACACAACTTCCAGAGGAGAACGTGCAAGTGTCCAGGGTCAACCTCATACTAGAACCAATGCCATTCATTAAATATGCAAATATACCAGGCACTGTGCCTACGTTCTACCAGGCCTACAAGGAGCACCACTACTCCTTATGTGTGGAGGGAATCTGGCGTGCGCTCTTCCTGGGAGGGACATTGCCAACCCACATACACCACCTTTCCCAGCTAGGCACAAGGCCTGAATTCACACTGAGAGCAGAGTCCTTTCCTGGCTTGTGGTGTGAAATGTTAAGGGAGAAATTTGTCCTCAGTAGCCAGCCTGAGTCTGTCCTGATCTGCCAATTCTGGCTGAGCAAAGACCTGTTGCTCTGCACCCCCAGCTCCGCAAGACCTACCTCCTCCCTCCCTTCTCACATGCACCTCTCCACACACACCTTCCCACCATTGGAACACACACGCGTGCGCGCACACACACACACACACACCTCCTCGTAAGACTGATTTTACTTCCCTCCATTGTGCTCTAGTTGGAATACATTTCTCTGCCTACACCATTACCCAGGGGCCTGACTTCTGGTGACCTCCTGTATAGTTCTGAGGTCTTTGGTCTCGATCAAGTCATGGGCTGTACTTGTTTTACTTAATGAGGTGGAATTCCCAAGCTGTTGGTTTTGCTGTGGACCATATTGGTTGTGTTTCTAACTCAGCTGGGGGAAATGGCGGAGCTTTTTTTGATTTGCTGGAAGGGGTGAGTGCAGTGGGGGAGGGGTCAACCACCTTGTAGGGATTTTTACAGCAACTTTATTCTGCTGGGCACTTGCAAGGGCACAGAAAGAGCACAGAGATGCTCTGGCTTGGGGAAGAATGTGGAGAAATGAAGAAAACAGCTGCTTCATGACAGGGCTCAGTCTGAGGACAGGCTAGGAGCCTTTGAGGCAGAAGTGCAGGGGAAGAACACAGTGCCTTGTGTGGTTCTGTTCACCTTCTTTTTGGACACTTATACAAGTTCAGTCACAGCAATGGCCCTACTCCTGATACCAATTTTTCATTACTCACTTTCCTCTCAGTGGGACAATATACTAAACGTGTGCTACTTAAAGGAAGAGCAGTGTGCTTTGGCTCACAAGCTCCATAGATTCAGGCTGTGGTCGGCCTGCTGAAAGGCAGAAATGGCATGGAATAATGGTATGGCAGAGGAAAGCTGGTCCTGTCACGGCTGCCATGAAGCAAAGGGACATGGGAGTGCAGCGGAGACCTCAGGGCTACACCCCCAGTAGAGCTGGGGTGAGAATTCACGCTCCACATACACCCTAGTGACCTCCGTCTTCTAAAGGTCCCTACCTCCAATTGGGAGACATTTGTGGGTCACCTTAGATCTAAACCATAAGCGTATTTCTCTCCAGAGAGAAACAAAAATTGTCAGACAGATATGTTATAGACTTAGATCATGTGATGGTGACATCTGACTCATGTGAAATCAATAGCACAGGTCAGCAGGTGGGAAAGTCACACTACATTTCTTTATTTTTCTTAAAGATTTTCTTTTGCGTTTTACTTAGCATGTGTAAATTATACACATTAGTGGAGTTCAGTGTGATATGTCACAGCATGGATACAGCACACAGCAATCAAATCCAGTCATGCTTGCACAAATGAGACAGCACATGTGTTATTTTACATTGTGTGCCTCGTTTATTCCACTTGACACAATGGCCTCTAGTACGAGTGACTAAAATTTACAAAAATATTTGAAGTTTAAGATTTCAGATGAGAGCAGACAAATCCTAGAAATAGCAAGCAAGCCTACAAAAATGTCTACAATTTTATCAAGATAACTATAAAACTTTACCTATACTTTCACCTAATGTAATTCTGATATAGAGTAGTATCTCATTTTCAATGAGGAGGATCAGAACAACTTAATACTGAATTTCTTGAAATTGTTGATAGAATTCACACTGCAAACCAACCAAAGACAAAGAGGAGGGCTGGTGGAAGGAGAAGGAGAGGAAGAGCAAAGTGGAGGGGAGAGAGAGGGAGAGGGCGAGTGAGTTAGAGACACTGAGACAGAGACAGAGAGAGACAGAGACAGAGAGAGATACAGAGAGAACTAGACGGGAACAGAGGCAAAGGCAGAGCCACGAGCAGAGCCAGAGCGGGAATATCACAGCAAACACACAGGAGCAATTAAATCGAAGTATGAAAACATCAGGAAGTCCCGCGGGAGAGAAAAGACTGTCCACCTCCTCCTTGTATTTGGTAGGGCAGGGAAGTGAATGGGGCTGAAGCCTGCCTAAGTGACCTAAGGCAACATGAGTTGTTGGAAAGTTTTAAAATTCCTGCATCTGCAGCACTGCACAGTCTGAGGCAGCACGTCATATCAGAGGATAATAGTCCAGCCCAACACTGGGAGAGCGGGAAAATGGGGCCATTATAGCTAAAGAAACTCTAGTAATACCTAAAACCACCCTGGAGGGTGAGGCCTGACATTCTAAACACTATTTTTTTTTTTTTTTTGGTACCAGGGATTGAACTCGGGTCCTTGCTCTTGAGCAGCAGGCGGCGAAACCACTGAGCTAAATCCCTGACCCCTCTAAACACTATTTTGACGAAGTACAAACAATGCACTAGAAACAGAGTAGCAAGTATAAGAGTAAACAACATATAGTACCATTAGTTATTCCACAAAGAAAGGCCCCCTCACCCCACCAGCCTAACGTGACCCTTGAGTATCAGGTCCGTGGTCTGGGGAAACACATTGAGGTTCAGAACCAGTGCAGACCAAGACCCAAAGGGAAACAAAGTGACCAACCCTAGGGGGATGGAAGGGACCTAGGGAATCATTTCCTGCACCTGCTGACACATTCCCAGAAGTGACTTGTACTGACTTCGGAGTAGTCCACTCAGAGCTGCCTAAGGTCCTTTTTCTGAGGTCCTCTTTCAGGAAAGAGCAGCAGAGAGGATCCGGGTACACTTGGGGTTCAAGTGAGAAGAGAGGAGGGACTGAGGAAGCCCTGCCCCAGAGGGAGAGTCAGCTAACTACCCAGCTCTACCCCTCCTGTTAGCCCTGGACCACACAGGGTCTGATTTGTTACAATGAAGTTCAGGCTCCCTGAGCCCTGGGAGGTAGAGCCTTCCTGGGAGGGGAACAGAGAGAACCAAATCCATAGAGAAAGTAGTTCTGGTTCTGCCCGGAACCAGGAGGCGGAACTCCTCATGAGGAAGGAGGGGAACCTTGAAAATTCCCTTCCGCTCCTGCTCTCAGCCCTGGGAGACCCAGGGCACATTGCGTGGTGTTTGCTGACTCCAGTGGCGGCGGCGGCAGAGGAAGCGGCTTCAGGTCAGAGCTTCTGAGGCCCTATTCTGAGGCCCTATTCTGAGGTGGTCTCTTCAGGCGAGGGCAGTTGTGTGGGTGGCCTCAGTTAGGGCTCAAGGGACAGGCTCTTGGGGGGAAGGAGGAAGCTCAGCTCTGAGAGAGTGGCCCCCAAACCCAGATGTGCCTCTGCACTGAGCCTTGCGTGCCGAGAAAGCATTCTCAGTTGGGGTCACTTTTGGCTCTGGCCACCCAACATGCCGTGTAAGAGCCGTGTTCTGAGGTTCGCACTTTATGGGGGAGCAGTGCAGGCTTAGGATCAGGGGGTCACAGTGCGGGTCTGAGAGGTGCTTGCCCAAGCCCCAAGAACATTCTAGCATAGGCTCCATTTTGTGCCCTGTACCACGCGGTGCAGAAGTCTCCGGATAGCGCCACCTTTGGCCTCAGTGGGAACTGCATGCCGCGCCAGAGCTCTGTTCTCAGCTCCTTGCTGCAGGTGGGAGAAAGAGAGGGCCAGAGCTCAGTTCCTTCAAGGTGTGGGGTTTATTTCTGGGGAAACTGCGGAAGGCGCGCTACAGAGGAAGGGTCTCCCAACCACGGAGAAAAGCCTCGGTTGCCTGCCCTTCCCCACGGGCTGCTGAATTCTCAGTGTAGTACCCTTGCTTGTCTTTGTGGGACCCTACGGGAGAGTCAGAGTAGTAGAGAAGTCTGTGCTGATGTGTATGTGTACCTTTCTGTATGTACATATAGGTATATACCGTGTGGATATACGTGTGTGTATATGTGTGTATATATATTTAGTACATGATGTTCACAGTCCTCACGGTATATGCATATATATTGGGTGGGGTTTTTCTTTGGAAGCGGGGATTGAGCTGAGGACATTGCACCACTCACCAGGCAGGCAGGGCGCCCCTGAGCTACGTTCCTGGCGCCTCTGTACACGTATTGCATGCATATGTATATTTAGGCATGTTCCTACTTCATAATAATCACATTCCTCAGAGACACTTTGTGCATGTGCTCAGGTCCGAATTCCACCTTCTTTAATGTGATTTCCCTCCCCATCATTCTCCTTCCTTCTATCTCTTGCTTTCCTTCCTGTATATTAAACATGATCTGGCTATTTACTGTTATCAATCTTTATTTTGCCCTTTATTTACATTTTTGGTTTCTCATATTAGAGTAACCATTTAGTATTTAAGCTTGTGTGTCTGATTTATTTCACTTAACATTAAGGTCTCAAGGTGCACCGATTTGCCTACATATGACCCAAGGGTATCCTTTTTATGGCACAGTAGTACTCTATGGTATATAAATACTGCATTTTCCTTAACCATTCTTCTGTTGATGTAAGTAAGGGCAACTTCCAAGATCCACTTTGAAATTTTGCTGCTATAAACACGGATATGTATGCATCAGTGTAATATGATGTTTTTAATTATTCCTGGAATTTAACTAAAAGGGGAACATCTGGGTCAAATATAAATTCTACTGATGTATTCTACAGAGCCTCCCGGCTGATTTTCATACTTGTTACACAAGTTTACACTCCCACCAACAATGAAGAGGGGTTCCTTTTTCCTTGAAGGCTTGCTAGTATTTGCTGTTATGTGATTTCTTTTTTTTTCTTTTCAGTACCGAGGATTGAACTTGGGTCCTTGTGCTTGTGCAGCAGGCGGTGAAACCACTGAGCTAAATCCCTGGCCCATGTGATTTCTTGAAGATAGCCATTATCTGTGGAGTCAGGTAGAATCCCAGTAATGTTTTAATTTGCATTTCATGAGTGGCCAGCAACGCTGAACATTTTTTCAGTGATCAGTGGCCATGTGTGCTACTTCATCTGAGAAGTATCTATACATTTAGATGAGCATCTCTTGAATGGGTCTTTCAATTTGAGAGGCTCAATTGTTTTTAGGCGTTTATATATTCTAGATATTAGTGATTTGCCTGAGGAGGACTAGCTGGCAAAATGTTTTTACAATTCTGAAGGCTGTCTGTTCATTCTGTTGGTTGTTTCCTTTGCCGTGTTGAATCTTTTTAATTTGATTTGGTCTCGTTTGTTGTTTCGTGGAAATATTTCTTGTGCACCTGGTGTGCTCTTCTGAAACTGATTGTCCCCATATATGTGTTCCAGAGTTTTACCTAATTTGTCTTCCAGAAGATTGTGCTTCCCTTTTAATGTTTACATTTTTGATTCATTTTTATTTTCTTTTAGTACATGGTGAGAGATATGGTTCCAGGTTCAAACTTTGGCATTTGTATAACCACTATTTGCTTTACCAGTTTTTAATGAGGCTATTTTTTACTTTTGCTCCAACGAAAGTATTTTGTCCCCTTGTCAAAGAAAAGCTTGTTGTGTTGCCTGGAGTTGTTTCTGTATCCTGGATTCTACCCTAGTGATCTACAAGTCAGCTCTTTTGCCAGTAGCATGCTGCTTTCATCACTGTAGCTTTGGAGTATAGCTTCAAGTCTGGGATTGTGATGCCCCCTGCCTTGCTCTTGTTGCCTGGAATTGCTTTTGCTCTTCTAACTCTCTTCTGGCTCCATATGAAATTTAGGATTTCTTTCTTGTTCTTTAGGGAATGCTATTGGTATTTTGATAGGTATTGTATTAAATCTGTATAACAGTTTTGAAATTATAGCCATTTAGATTTTACTGGTTCTGCCGATGCAGGAAAAGGGCATGCCTTTGCATTTTGTGATATCCTCTTCAATCGCCTCTTCAGACTAGTGCAGTATTCAATGTAGAGGTTTTTCTTTCCCTGGGGTATATTAACTCCTACGGATTTAATTTTTGTAACACTATTGTGAAAGTTTTGTTGGCCTAATTTCGTTCTCCATGTGTTTCTTATAGGTGTACATGAATGCTGTCGATTTTTGTGTGTTGTCTTTGCAACCCGCTATGCTATTGATTTTTAGTGATTAATATTTGGTGTGATTTCCAACCTGTGAATACTTTCTAATTAAACACATTTTCTGTGTACTCTGTATCGCATGGCTTTGTTTCTTGACCCATTCCGCCAATCCGTGTGTCTTGATTCGGGAGTTGAGACCTTTCTCATTGAGAGTTATTCCTGAACGGTACTGACTTCTTCCTGCAATTGCATTGTTGGCCTGTTGCTGATTTCCTTGTATTTTTTTCTTCTGCTTAGGGGATCATCCTGACAGGTGGATTCATTCTATTTGATGTTTTGGCATTGGTGTTTCCTTGTTTCTTTATAGCATATCCTTGAGAATTTTTTTCTCATTCTGGTTTCAGTGTTCCTTGAGAATTTTTTTGTAATGCTGGTTTTGGTGTTCTCTAACACTTTTTAAGATTTTGTCCCCATGTTGGACTTCTGTTGTTTGGAATTGTGTTAAAAGAGGTTCTCTTTTGCTTGTGGCTATTTATGGTTGTGCGTGCTTTCTTTCTCTGTATGTGCATTTTTTTACCAGTGTTTTAGAAGTTGTGTGTATTACTTCTGTAAAAGTTTTCTTCTGCCATTTGTAGTGTCTTCTGATTTTTCATGTATTCTTATTTCTCTGAGCAGAGTCTTTCTTGGTTCTTCTAGCAGCTCTTGAGTCCATTTTTCATGTCTTCTTGTGGCTTTATACAAGTTTTAAATACTTCTGCATTGAGCCAAAGCCTATATTTTAATTCTTAATTTCTGCCTCAACATTGGTTACTTTCTTTGCCCACAGTTTGTATATAAATTTGAATCTCCTGGATTATGGATTGAGAGCTTTTCTTGGACTCTGCTTTTCTGTTCAAGTGTTCCTTGATGTTTTCTATCATTTTCTTTAGCTCAGCTAGATTTTATTTATTGTGTTCTTAAAGCTTCTGGTTTATTTCTGTAATTACTTTCATTATGGGTTCAGTTATAGCTTCTGAGCTTGTACCTAACACTTCTTTAATTAGTTTTCTAACCCACTCTGTTATCCTTCCATGTGATTTGGTTATGTTACTTATAGTGTTATTTATCTCAATCGCTCCAGGATTGCATTTGAGGGAACTGGGAGTTTTGGATGGCATTTCGTTGACTTGTGTTCTCATGTTTCTATTGCTTTTTGGTTTGTTTTGTTCTGTGCTGAAGTTGGTGGCACATACAATGGAACCATTTTGTTGCTATCACAGAGATCCTTCTTATTATTGGGTTTTACAGTGATGAAATTTGGGCCTGGCTGACTATAGTTTTTAAACTGAGCCCTAAAATCCAACCAGTTTTATTAATTTGAAAGCTGGGTGTGGAGAGTAATTGGCCCAGGGCACATTCTCTGGTAATGCACTACAGTTTTCTTTTTTTTTTTTTTGGTACCAGGGATCGAACTCGGGTCCTTGTGCTTGCGCAGCAGGTGGCGAAACCACTGAGCTAAATCCCTGGCCCTACAGTTTTCTTAATGTCAAAAGTGTAGTCTGGGTAGTGGCATACAAAGAAACCACATCATTGGCAGCATTTATGTGAACCTGGCAATTTCAAGCAAATCACCTTCTGTCATATTCAAGAGAATTTCTGATGTTCAAGCCAAATTGGACATTAAGATACCAGAGGAAAGAATTTGGCAACACCTTCAACCGTAGAAAGAAATCCACCATTAAAGTATAACTACTAAGACAAGCTATATTAGCATACAGCAAATATGTACTAAATGTGACAGCTATAGCTGTACTAATGGTAGGAAGAATTTTTCTTTTTGTACTGGGGATCGAACTCGGGACCTTGTGCTTGTGAGGCAGGTGCTGGAACCACTGAGCTAAATCCCCAGCCCCAAGGAAGAATTTATTAGTAATTTTGTAAACTATCTACAGATTATTATAGCTTATTGTTTATAGTATTAATGACACAGCTGCTTGGGAAAAGAAGAATGTCACAGGAAACTTTTAAAAACTTAAACACTAATATATAAGAAGCAGGAGAAAAGTAGTGGCACAAGTGATCCTATCAGTGACCACAAGGATATCTCTAAAGTTAGGAAAAGTAACATACAAAATGAAGATAAGAGGAAGTTAGCAAAAATAAAAGAAGAATGGAAATTATAGAGATAGTGAAAATAAGAATAACAATCATATGAAACATTTAATGGAGAAGAGGGGGAAGATTAAAGAAAAATAAGAAAAAGAAGAAGCAGTTTATTTTCGGTGAAGCTAAATGAGTAGTTTCCTTTCTTGAGGTAGAATTTTGGAATCTAGCAATTCTTGATTTTGTGAGGCTCCTGTGCACTCCCAGCTGTGGCTGTGTCCAAGTCATAATGTGCCCCTGCTCACACTGGTAGACAAGGTAGGCAGCCAGACTGCAGGTCCATGTACAGGCAAAAGGGCAAGGGCTCCAACACCAAAAGCCAAGACTTTGAAATCCAGAAAAGCTGAGGCTGGGCCTGGCCTCTGGCTGCTGGTGGCGGGGCTGTGTCCTTCACAGCAAATGCAAACCCCTCAGGGGGTCTCTTTGCAGCCTGTCTCTCTGTCCAGAGCTGTGGCCTGCTCCTGTCACACCGTCACTGTGTGAATATAATACTAGGAACTTGGAAATGAAGCTGTCCCAGGATCAGAGAATTAGAGCTTTGCTCCACTGAGACCCATGCTTGTTCTTTCTGGAGGGAGGGATACAGCGGCACCTTGATTTGGGAGTATCAACCATCTGCTCCCGTATTAGGACACTGTGCCAGCAGAACTCCACAGTGTCCCTGCAGATCAGCATTCTCCCAGCCATTGAACCAGCGCTTCTCCCTAGGAACTCCTGACGTCCCCAGGTTTCCCTTTGTTTCCACAGATTGAATCTCCTTTTTCCATGAGCAGGAGGCCAGGGAGAAAATGCAGAAGATTTTGTTCCATCTCCACGTTCTAGTCTGTCTCTTCAGTCTCTCTGTACTTTTCCATTTTCATGTCAGTTCCTACCTGATTCCCTGGCAACTTCTTGCTATTTCTTTCTTTCATTTTATTATTCAGGTTATTATTTTTCAGACTCTTGATTCTGAATCTGCGGGAGGCTGAATTGCTGGTGCTCACCACTCCTTCATTTTCTCCAAACAAAACTGCTGAAGGTAATTAATTCATAATTCATAAAAAGAAAATATCCTACAGAGCCTGACTTCCTCTGCTATCACCCTGGTATCCAGTGAGAGGGTTTGTATCTCAATTGCTGCCATTTATGCTCATCATTGGGATGGGAGAACTCAGGCAGGCAAGGACGATAGTCCAAGGAGTGACCGCAGGTCAGCAGAGGGAGCTCCATATGCTCAGCAGGACTAGGACCGAAAGAGCTGCCCCGCCGAAGCTGTGGACACCTCCCGAGGAGTATGGGTGTCCTCTGTCCGGAAACAGTAGACCCCACACAGTGTGCCTCTTCCCTGGGTCAGCCCTGGGAGGATCTACCTGGGATGCAGCATTCTGCCCTGGCAGGAAGAGAGTCATCAGGGAGATGACCTCTTGGTCTCAGAGGGAGATATCGGCTCGTCTTGGGCGTGGTGGGGATGAGGCAGGGCTGGCCCGAACCATCGGGGGAAGTCTGAGAAACTTCAGTAGCACATAGGAGATGCCTCACTCGTGTTCTCATTGCTGGGACACAGTACCTGACATCTGCAGTTTCGTGGAAGACAACTTGATTTAGACCCACAATGTATAGCATTTGCAGTCCAAGATCAGCCAGCTCCAAGGCAGAATAAAAGAGTGGCAGGGCCTGGTAGGAGGAAACCTGCTCGCTGCAAGTCCTCCAGTAAGGAGAAGTTGAAGGCAGGAGTCAGGAAGGGAGATACAAACTGCCCCATTACCCCCAAAGTGACCCTCTCTTCCTACTGGGCCCCATCACCTAAAAGCAAGTGGGCCATAGGACTCATTATCCAGACACATTTCACAAGTCCTGGCTAGGTACACATGCGAATTCCACAAGAGGTCTAGGCTTAAACCATAACCTCAGTACCACATCACCAGTGATATGTGCACAGGTCCCGCTGTTAGCACTGATGATCCCCATGTCGGAGACAAGCGGGGTTTCCGCTCTGTCTTTGAGAACGGTGACGATCTCGTGAAGGTAGCATGCTGGCCCTGAGATGGCTTCTGCCTTGGCAGAGGGAACCCCATCTGGTGAGGAGATGCACTGCTGTTTGAGGATCTGCAGATGGGCCAGATTAGGGCCTAGGGGAGGATTTAGGGTCCTCCTGACCTGAACACAGAGATGCGGGTGCCCCACAGACATTTATCTTGCTGCTTCACTCAGCCCCAGAAGCCTGACTAGGGCTGTCGGGCCAAGGCTGCTCTCTTACTTCTGCCCCTTTGATGTCTGGAAGCTGAAAGCCTTGGTAGGAGGGAGGTGGAGCAAGGGCAGCAGAAATAGACTCACAAGCCATATGACGAGTCTCAATGAGGGCCAAGTGAACCTCCTCAGTGCAACACACAGCACCCTAGCCCCAGCCTGTCCCTTTGTCACTTATGGTCAGACCCAAGGAATACAGGTTGCGTGATTTTCCTGTCTCCCTCTTTGAATTTCTCAGAGAACCAGGCCTGTGGTTTCAACAAGGTGGTCTCAGGTCATCCCAGAGAGAGCCCTAGACCCAACCATTTCTCAAGATCACCTGGGAGCAGGTTCCCATTTCTAGAGCACATGGACCCCATTGAGTGTTTCCATCCCCACCTGTGGCCTCCAGGCAGCTGAGTGCACATGTGTGTCCCTGAGGTGCCTTTTGTGCTCTCTCAGGAAGGGAGAAACTTTTTCTTAGAGTTTCCATCAGGCCAGCACAGGACAGGGGTCCAAGCCCTACTCCAGAAGATTTGAAGGCCTGGGGTGAGCAGAGAGCCGATCATGCACACAGAAGGGTGGGGAACTCACAGGTTCAGCTCACTCCTCATGTGAGGGCTGGGGCAGCAGGACTGGCTTGTGGTCTGAACCTGAGGGGCCTTCTGTGTGTCTTACAGGAGCTCCTGGAACCAGGCAGTGCAAGTGTTGTTGGGAAGCAGTGTCTTCACCGCACACAGCAGAGCAGTCCCAGGCAGGGTCAGGAGTGAAGGTGAGATGCAGGCCCTCGTGGGTCCCGAGGGCTCCCCCTTCCCAGAGCAGGGCACCTCACAGTGCCTGGGGTCCAATGTGCCCTACTGTCTTCCCTACAGTCTTGTTTTCTGTGGTTCCACTGCACACTGAAGAGCAGCCTCACTTCATGTCCCAGGATCTTGGGGACAAGGACAGGGGAGAACAGGAACCTGTGAAGCATGCCACAAAAAGACGACTCATAATGGACCTCTGTGGGAGGCACCAAGTGTGTTCTCACCTGGAAACACTAATAGTCTCCTTCTCTCCTCCAGGCATCTGAGGCTTCAACAACAAGATCTTGCTCTCAGCTTGGAACATCATGATGCCCGGTGGTCAGCAGAGCGAAGACAGCAAGCTACGGGGAGAGCATCTTGCCCAAAGTAGTGCAGGGGACATCATGAGTGTGCAGGGTCTCGAGGATGAGGGGGAAGCAGCAGCCTCCGCTTCCTCTCTATCCTCTCCCTCCCTTACTGTCATCGCGTCCACACCAATAGAAAAGCCTGGGCCTGGGACACCAAGTTGTCCTCAGAATCCTCAGGGCATCTCCTCTCCCCCCAGTGCCATGGCTGCCACTCAAAGGAGCCAGTGCAGTGAGGGCTCGGGCCGGCAAGAGGAGGAGGGTCCAAGTCCCTCGCAGGACAAGGAGGCCCCTCAGATCAGGCAGGAGGAGTTACCAAATGACAAGTTGGATAAAATGGTGCCATTCCTGCTCCGCAAGTATCAACAGAAGGAGCAGATCACCATGGAGGAAATGCTGCACGTTGTGGATGATGATTACCATGAGCACTTCCCTCTGATCTTTAGGGAACTCTGTCAGTGCATGTGTCTGGGCTTTGGCATTGAGCTGAGGGAAGTGGATCCCCCTGGCCAGACATACGAGCTTCTCCCTGTCCTGGGCCTCACTTACAAGGGGATCCTGGATGACGATGTCCAGGTCATTCCCAAAGGGAACCTCCTGATAGTCATCCTGAGTGTAATCGTCATAAAGGGCGACCGTGTCAGTGAGGAGGACCTAAGGGAACTGCTGAGAGATAGGAAGCTATTAGCTGAGAGGGAGCTCGTTATTATCGGGGATCCCTGGAAATTCATCACAGAGGATTTGGTCCGGGAAGAGTACCTGGTGTACCAGCAGGTTCCTAATAGTGATCCTGCTCGCTGTGAGCTGCGGTGGGGTCCACGGGCCCACGCTGAAACCAGCCCAGTGAAAGTCCTGAAGCACATGTTCAGTCTTGATAGGACAGATCCCAGGTCTTACCCACATCTACAGGAGCAGGCGCTGAGAGAGGCAGAAGGTCTGCCTGAGGCCCTTGAGGGCGAGGATGAGTGACAGGGTGGGGAGTGTGCTGCCACCACGTCGCTGCTTGGTCCCCACCCCACGTGAAATGAGCCCCATTCTCAGGCCGTGTTTCTGCAGAGCAGCACTTTCGTCAGCAGTGAGGGCCAGGGTGGGTGATGAAGTACTGTGCTTGACAACTTGGTGTCTGTTCTGTTTGACTTACTTACAAACTGACAGCTGTTTCGTTTATAAGTTTTAAAATCTTGTTCCTTTTTCACGAGATTGAAGTTGCTTGCAGTTGTTATTTGAAGGATGATACTGAACTCACATGCAGTTTTATTTTTCTGAGGCTGTTTGATTGTGATTTATGATGTCAATGTGTTTTTATGTGACACTGATCAAAAACAGATTTTGGTTTTCCATTCCAAGTGAAAATGTCTTTACTGTTTTTTCAAGCAAACAGGAGACCTTCTGTTTTGTTTATGAGGAGATGATTGGACAAGGAATTTCCTTGGAAATGTGTAACAAGTTTACATGAAGTTAGATGGTGCCTAGAAAAAGATACAAGGATAAAATCATTCCTGAACTCTTTTTCTTTTGCCCTAGTTTTGTACAGTATTAAAAATATCTGTATACCTGAAATTGCTTGGTTTATTTAATTATATTTACAGAAATTTACTTTCAAAAAAGAAACCATCTTCTCAGGGACACATGGCCCCAAACTTCACTGCACCTGTGCACTTAGGGAGGCCGTGTGTCTGTGGCGGAGACATGAGGAAACCAGACTGAGCAGGATCACGCCTACCCCAAGGGATGGTGGAGTCCAGGAGTACCAGCATGTCTCCAGGTAGTGGGATGTCCTCAGGGACATGGAGGGCAGGTTACAGAGCACTGCAGGAGTGGAGTCTAGCAGAGAGCAGCCATGGGTGATTGCTTGGCTATGGAATTTTTTCGGCTTGAGGTTAATACAGGGTCTTCTATAGGACTTGATTAATGCAACTGGATGGTAGCCAGGAGCAGACCCTCAGAAGGATTGTCTTGGGCCTGAGAGAATGAAGACTGCTCTGAGCAGTGCTTTTTAGTTGGGGGTGAAGCTGAGAGGAATCCTCGCCTGGGACAGCTGTGAGAAAAGTGGTCCTATGGAGGGCAAACACCAGTCTTATCCCCAGTGCCTGCAAGGATTTTCTGAGAGATAAGTGTGACTCTTTGGTGAAGTGAGGTGCTAGAGTCTCTGGCTAGTTGCTCTGCTTTCTGAAGGCAGTGTCCACATTCCATGGTCTTGCAGTGCCCAGTTGACTGCTTCCCTGGGAAAACTCCTACTGAGTCCAGTTTACCTCAACACTCTTGTAAGATGGACATAAGTACCTGGCCGGTCCCATTACCACTTAGACCAGTGGTCAGAGGACTGCCTGACCAAGTGGTTTTTCCTCCAGAGACCCTGCTCAGAGTGTCTTCCCCCTGCCTTATACCAGTTCTCCACTGGGGCACTTTGCAATGATTCCCGTTGTGAAGGAAGTTGGCGCTAGGAATGTGAGGTGATGTCAGCTTGCCTGAAGTTTCTCAGAACTGTATCTGCTCAGCTGGCCTTGTCACTAGAATGGCCTGGGCTTCAGTCCTCACTGTCACAGAGGCCTCATGAGCCCCAAGCCTAGACTCTTGCCGAAGGAGATTTGATTGAAAATAGTTGTTCCTGTGGAGGGGAAGCTGGCAGGGATGGGATATGGTTCTTCTCCCAAAATGCAGGGCCTTTCACTTGGCCCCAGCAGGGGCAGACTCCCCAGCATGTAACCAAGTAATACATACTATTGGGAGAACATACTGTGGGAACAGTGAGTAGCATTTTTGCCCGATTTTCACTTCACTTGTCTTATAAGCTGCACCTTTCCTGGAAACACGCACAGAATTTTTCCAGAAAAAGTGTGATAGGGTCCCAGGTTAAGGTAAAGCTAGAACCAGCTTGTTATCAACAAGTTTCAATACACCGTATGCCAGGAATTCTCCCAGGTGTTTTAATACATTTCTTATATTCCATAGTCCCACAACCCAAAACATCTATTGAACCCACTTTATAGATGAAGAACCTGAGGCCTACTGGGCTTGGGAGCTTCTCAGGATCCCTGTGTGGTAAATGCCAAGGCCAGGACTGGACTCTCAGTGTGAGGTCATCTAGAGGCCACCGTGTTCCCACTCCTCCCAGCCTCAACCCGGCTCTGTTTCTGAGTTCAGCTCTGTACTCAGAGAAATGAAAATACCTCTCAGGGTGCAGAAAGTCCCCGTGTCCAAGGCACTGATCTGGCCTGAATTAAGAATGTAAGATGAGCGGGCCATGGGTGC